TATGTATGTTGGAGCAAAAATGTTTAGGAAATATAAATAATACTTATTTCTGTTCAAGTATTAATATACATACATACTTAAATGTATTTTTTTATTAGCACAAGCAGAGATAAGAATTTATTTTATTGCTCTAATAAATAAATGTTGCACTAAATACTTTATTTAGCAAGCTATTAAAGCAATGAAGACACATTTCGCATTCTTGCTACCAAAAATAAATGAGATAAATATGATTAATGCTGCATGTTGTCTGCAGAAAGGATATTCCACATTATTTATGTACATGAAACACTTTGGTCATAGTGGGTCAATTATTATCGTAGTTTGTAGTTATTTAGCAAAGAAAATACCTGAAGCAGACAAGCAGAAATTAATTTATTTTTTTGTTGTTAAGTATAAGATAATTCTGCTTTATTTAGATTTAAGTTAAATGTGAAAAGTGAATGGCAAATTTTTGTTATAAAGTTCAAATGAGATTAAATTCTGTTTTTAAATAGAGTTAAACTTATTGTGATTATGAAAGTTTGCCAGTGGAAATTCAGCTAATAATATTTCATTAAGAAACTTCGTAATTTGGAGACCATTTTCTTACAAATAATTTTTTTTTTTTAATATTATTAATTTTATTTTATAGAACAACATAGATTTGTATAAATGTTTAAGAACAGCGCGCGATAATAACGATAGCAGCGCAACAGTTTGCATAGTTTTCACTATTTATCCTTTGCTTGTTTAATGTTCATTATTTTTATATACAAAATGCGACATAAATCGAAATTGCCCACTTATATTATAAAAATATTATAAAAATTCCCCCAATTTTTTCGTCCCAATTCCAAGCATTTTAATTTCTAGAATAACTTTTGGTATGCAGTTTTATAGCTCATTAAAATATAATATAATAAAGTGACTCTTTGAAGTTGCTAAAAAATCGCATTGGTTTTTGATATTTTTTTTTCACGGTGTTATACACTTTTTTCCATTCAAAAAATTACTTTGTATGGAAGAAAATGCGTGATATCGTAAAAAAAAAAATATCCAAAATCAACGCAATTTTTTTGCATCTTTAAACTGTCACTTTATCATACAACAATTTAATTATCTGTAAAACTGCATTCAAAAAATTAATTCCGAAATTCTAACTAAAATACTTGGAATTGGGATGAAAATTTTGTGCAACTTTTTAAATTTTTGTACAAAGTTTGAAATTTGGACTTATATTGTTTTTGTTTTATAAGGAGCTGAGTTTTAATAAAAAATTAATGAATCTTACAAAAAGGAAAAGGAAACGAGTCAAAACTGGTAAATTGGCAAATGCAACGGAAATGGTTTGCTTTTTATCACATCACATGAGATGACATCACATTATATGACATGGTATGATATGACATCTCATCACATCACATCTCATCTCATCACATCACATACTATCACATGACATGATATGACATCACAAATGAAAGGACATCGAATTAGGTAAATGACATCAGATGACATGACAGCCAATCACATCACGTCAAATCACATTATATTAAATCACATAAAATCACTCCACATCGTGTTACCTGACATCTTATTACATATCTGACATCTTATCATATCCTCTCATCTCACATCATCTAGATTAATATGCAGCAACGATAAAAATAAACCCGAAAATATGAACTATTGGGGAACAATATTCCGTCACTCCTTGTCAAAATTTAGTTTGGAGACAAACCGATTTCGGCGTTGTGTCCAAACCAAATTTGACAAGGGATGACGAAGAATCGTTCCACAATGCATAATACTTCTACCCTGTCGGAAACATAAACAAAGAAAATGCGAAAAATATGCAAGATAAAAACGTAGATGAAGATCAAGGGTAAATTTAAACACTAAGGCACTCCGCACATTAAGCGCCTAATCATATTAGTGTAATCGTTCCGGCATACTAAAGTTTGAAGCTTTTACGCCGAACACATGTACTTCAATGAAGCTCTGTATATTACGATTCATAATCATAAAAGCTTCATGAATCGAAGCGCCCAACATTGTAAGGCGCTTGCCGTTTTTAAATCATCATTTGTTTACTTTTTTGTGTTGAAAATAAAAAATATTTGTCATTTAAATAGGAAATATTGACAGTTAATGATTTTGTGCTAAAACTCGTGCCAATTCTACTACTACTATGATTAAGCGCGTAATGTGCGGAGTGCCTTACTCTGAAAAAAATAAAGGTAAAAATAAAGATAACGGCAAACAGATCAAGATAAATGTAATAATAACGAAAAGCGTAGTGATAAGGCTAAATATAAAAAAGAGATGAAGGAAGGTTTTTGGTTGTTGTTTGAGACACGTTGTTATCGATTAACGCATAACCTTAAGCTTATAACATTATATAGTACAACTAGGCCAATCCGAATTTGGTCTTATCGGGATCCTTGTGATAGTTCGGATTTCTGCGTCGAATTTACCAACACAATTGGACCTTTGTTTCAAATTTTGAAGATTACAATATGCAGATGTTTAGTTTATGCAGAAACCGTTTGCAAATTATAATTATCTATATCTATAAGGATAAGCAATCAAAAAATAGGTTGAGCTCATTTTATTGAAAAGGCCTTCTTTTGCGGAGGTTTATTAAATATATATCGTTCGGCTTGACATGTGAATATCCAGGCACCAGCGCTGGTGGAAAATATTAGGTTAGGTGCTTCATAGGGCGGACAACGCACAATGATCCTACATATGGCAACGTAGAGTTAAATATTTATGTTCACACTCCCAAATTTTCAGATATCGGTAGTAGTTAAAGAAGGAAATAAATTGCTGAAAATTAAAAAAAAAACGTTATCAACATCCTTTTTCAACCATCCTTAAATAATGTAACACTTTTCACATTTATTTGCTATTTACTTTTTTTATTTGTATCTCTTACTTTTGAGCAGCTGACAATGTTGACATCCATTAAGAAAATTGCATTTCATTTAATTTTTATTTATTTTTCCTTTTCTTCTGACATATATTTATACTACTTTGTAGGTAACTTGTATGTATGTGGTTGGCCTTAATGCTTCGAACTCGAAGAAAAGTAGTTAAAGTAAAAACTTTACCAAACTGCAATCAAGAAAAATACATACAAGACATAGTGAAGCAAAGTGAAGTCGGCAAGACGAATGACGAAAGGCTAAAATGCATTGACAAAGGGAAAAATGAACGACACACGAACGATGTGCGCGCAGCGAAGTAGAGCAATGAACCAATCAATATAAAAACAAACGGCAAGAAAAAAAAAACTTTTTTATAGTCGTCAATGCATAGGCATGCATGTATGTTTCACATTAACTTGTGTGTGAGTTTGTATGTGTCAGCATAGAAGCGTTACCAACTATCTGTCTCTTCAGTAGGCAAACAATTTGTTGCAACGACCAAGAAGCCGCCACGCAAGAAGGCAAAAAACATTAAAACCAAAAGTAAAATCAAATACAAAAAATCAGATGAAAGCCGATTTCATGGCGAGCGAAAAATTGGTCTATGACATAAAATACAAAAAATAATGGCATGGCAACAACAAAAACCACTACAAAAGCAGTGCGAACGAAAAACAATATCAGTTGGCTATAACAATAAGCCCAAATAGCTGGGTGGTTTTGATGTAGCCAAATAAAATACACCCCTACATAAGCGCAAAATGGCAGCTAAGCTTTTGTGCCAACAGAGAAGAAGTATGTAGATATGTAGCAAAAAGTAGTTTGCAGTTAACTGCTAATGCTGGCTGGCGGCTACTATGGCAGCCTTTTGCAGCCAAATGGCAGGCAGACGTCCTCCACCTACGCGTCTCTTTGAATAAATAAGACACGTTCACAGAACGAGCGGACCGATTCTCAGCGAAAGCTAATGACGTTGCCTTGTCTGCCTTGCTCTTACACAATCGGCTGGCTGGCTTGCTGGCTTGCTGGCTATCTCTGACCGCTCTTCATGGTCTTGATGTTAACGACAAATAGCCATGATATGCGGCTTAAGCGTGCAACGAATAGTTGGCAACATTACGGGTGCAACAACTACATACATACATATTTAGAGTGGCGGCATAAAAACAAATTGCTGACGGGTTGACTGTGGAAAGAGAGGCGTGGAAGAGGAAATGTGATTCACAACGTGAGTGGCAATAAGAAACATCAATAACTCCACGCTGACGTTGACTTTTTCATCCAGATATTTGAAAATTCTTTTGACTGGCATTTGGCCAAATCGACAGACTCAACAAAAAAGGCTAAAATAAGTGACTAACTAACAAACTACGCTGATTGGATTGTTAGTTTTAGTGGTCTGACGGTTTTTTAGATTTGCGGAAAGTAGCACAGAAAATGTGGTCTGTGAAACTATGCTGGTCAAGCTGGAGTTCACGTGCTTACATACATACATAAATATGTACTTAATTGTATATACATGATTAAATTAGATAAAAATATAAGGGACCACCATGACTATGATATTTGGGGGAAATATTTTGATATTTTCCAGTGGCAAATACTTGAAAATGACTGAGTTTAAGGCACTTATTCACGTTGGAATTTCAAAGAAATTTTATGTACACTGCCGGCAAAATGTATTGGCACAGCTGCCTTTTACAATATATGCAACAATTTTTATTGTAATATTTTTTCTAAAATTTTTTATAAAAAATGGTTCATACCACAACAAAAAAAAAGCATAAAAATGTTATTTCTAAACTTTGTGCAAAACTCGCGAAAATTCAGCAAATTTTTAACTTTTTAATCAGATTTTTTGAATTTTTTTGAGTATGCAGATTTGTAGCCAAATCAATTTTATTGTCAAATTAGAAGTTCCAAATAGCTAGGAATTACCGTTGATTTTTGGGAATTTTT